TTTAGGGTTTGGGGTTTAGGCTTTCTTTGCGCTGGGCAGTTCAGGAACTTGAGGTTACTATACCAATAATATCAGTCCCGATTTCGAAATCTCAACACAATGGTGCACGGTTCTAGTACGATTTTGCTCGGGTGCAGGTTTACAGAAATCCTGGTCTGAATGATTTTAGAGTCTCTCTAGGATTTGAGGCAGCTTAGAGCCCACCCCTGAAGTACTCCCTCAACCCTCAACCCGAAACACCGAAACCACGAAACGACGAACCGCAACTCCGTAACCCCTACCTGTAGATCCTACAAAGTAGTAGGTAATGTAGAAAATGTAGAGGACAAAATAATTAGAATAGGGTTTTGGGTATATTCTACTATAAATGTAATAACGAACCCCCAAAAGAATATAGGTAACTATTGAGACCCCTATATTAACTGACCCCGCAGGGTCTAGGATTTTGAGGGTTCGGGCTATAGTCGGTGACTGAAGCCGCACGTCCACTCTAAAGCCCAAACCCGCGAACGTCGACCTTTGAAGTCAAGACTTTTTAGTCCGAGAGAGGGGCTATACAGGGTTTAGGGTTTATAGGGTTTAGGTCTAGGGTTTAGGGTTTAGGATTTAGGGTTTAGGTCTAGCGTTTAGGGTTTAGGATTTAGGGTTCAGGTTTTAGGGTTTACGGTTTAGGGTGTAGGGGTTAGGGTTTAGGGTTAGGGTTTAGGGTTTAGGGTTTAGGTTTAGGGTTTAGGTTTAGGGTTTAGGTTTAGGGTTTGGGGTTTAGGGTTGTCTGGGGCTTTAGAAGGGGCTGGAAGACTTCAACAAAGGCTTTAGCTTCTTAAGCGCTGGCTTGAACCCCGACCCTGGACCCTAAACCCTAGACCCCTGGGCTTCTCGGTTCCGTGTTTGGGCTGCAGGTTTAGGGTTTAGGGTTTAGGGTTTAGGGTTTAGGGTTTAGGGTTTAGGGTTTAGGGTTTAGGGTTTGGGTTGCGGGTTTGGGGCTAGGGGTTTGGAGTGAGGGCTCTATGTAGGATCCCTGTTGATGGGGATTCCGAGCTACTTCCGCAGGGGTATTTCTTAACCAGGCTTCTAGACCACGTGGTCTTATCATGATATGAGCTCTGTTGCTCAGGGTTTAAGGTGTGGCGTAGGGTTTAGAGAGTTGAGGTTTGTCTGATTAGTGATTTGGAGCTTTAGTGTTTAGGGCTGAGGGAAACATTCATCTTGAACTGAGTGGTGTTGACAATTTTGGACTTTCTGTGGATGCCGTAGTTCACTGGTGACCCAGGGCTTTTGCGGAACTCGATACCGGTGTTGCAGACCGTTGATCTAGAAACCCGTTGTAGGTTTGCACACCGTTGATTTGTAAACCTCCCTCTTTCTAAGGGCCTTAGTTTCTTTTCAGAAATCCTACTAACCCTGCTTAACGGACGGGGTGTGCGTGGGTCTACATTCTAGTTAGCGGATTCGGGGCAATACAAAAGCCAGAGTAATCAATACTACCATTAATTGCTTGGGGCGCATTTTATCGATATAGAACGATATACTACAAACCCTTATTCCCCAAAACCCCTCTAGAACCCTCAAAGAAACCCCCAAAAGGAACCCTGAACCCTCTTATAATCTTCCGGGCAGCTAAAAGACTGAGTGAGTCAGCTTGAGAATGGGGGACGAAGGCTGCAGAACTCGAGTTTAGGGTTTAGGGTCCGTGGGGTTCGTTGGTTTAAAATTTTGGGCTTTAGGGTATACGGTTTAGGGTTTAGGGTCTGTGGGGCTCGGGATTTTCGCGGTTTAGGGTCTCTGGGGATGTATTCGGGTTTATTATAAGGCTGGGGTTTCAAATGTTGGGCTTTAGGGTATACGGTTTGGGGTTTCACCCACGACGAAAACGACCACGACGAAGATCACGACAGCCACCACGACCACCGCGACCACTGGCATTGTAAGCGTACACAGGATGATCATGTGGGGGTTTCCGAAAATAGGGCACCCTCATATAGTACCCTACATAATAGAATCCTTAATATAAGGACCCCAAAATAAGGTACCCCTAATTTTCGGAAACTCCCATGTGGCTTGCAGTGGTATAACCGCTGCAAGAAGCCTCACACAATCAGACTTGGCCACCTGTTGTGCTAGTCCAAACCAATACCACGGCAGCTGGGCCACTTGCTCTCTGGAAGCGTCCGAAGCAAGCAAATCCACGCAGAGGCAGGGTGGGAGGGGGATGAAGAACCCTAAGGGTCCATGTACCCAAACAGTATATACTGCGGCCCCAAAGTACCTAGATAGGGACTACTTTAAGGCCAAAGTATATACTAGTTGGGCACATGGACCCTTAGGGGAAGCAACAAAGTGGCGAGTCGTGCAGCCGGTTACAATGTTGTATTAACTATGTGCTGACTATATATGAGCCGTTTAAAGTTGTTGGTAGGGTTCGGGTTTAGGGTAGCCCTTATTGTTGGGGTTGAATTCAATGGCTTTTGGGTTGAACTTACTGTATTTCGGTCGTGGACTCGGACTTAGGTCCCTTGAAATGAAAGGGCGCGCAGATCAGTCGAATTTTGCAAGTGGGACTTAACTCCTAAACTTTGAAGGTTTCGGCTTCAGCGTGATTTCGGGCTGGGAAGCTTACAAGGCGAATATGTAAATTGCGAGTTTTTTCCCTACTACTGCCGAACCGCAGCAAAACCAGTGCCTGCACCGTCTGCTTTCTACACAACGAAGCTTCGTACCTTACACTGGCAACCCAGAGCGCGAAAAAACCCTAAAACCCTAAACCCTAAACCCTAAAACCCCTAAAACCCCTAAAACCCCTAAAACCCCTAAACCCCTAAACCCTAAACCCCTAAACTCCTAAGCCCTAAAACCCCTAAAACCCAAACCCTAAACCCTAATGAATAAGTCTGAACCTGAAATCCTGCATTCGAAGCCCCATCCATCCGTCAAGCCGCTGTATCATCAATCTTCCGAAACAAAGAGCCTGAACCCCCGCATCCCGCGTTTGAAACCCCAAAAGGGTTTAGGAGTCAAGGGATCAGGGCGCCGGGGTATGTTTTCATAATTATACTAGATGATATTGTAGTATAACAAAGTATTACATAGTGTAGTAGAATATACCACGTCTTATTGTGTTCTAATATCATATGTTAAGGCGCTGTCCAGGCTTCCGATGGCGGGGCCCGAGCTTCTGCGCCAAGTCTGCCAGCTCTTTGTTGTCTGGGAAATGCCTCTGCAAAAGTCGTTCGGGTCTGGTTTAGGGTTTGTGCCTTCTAGGGTTTGCGGTTTACGGTTTCGGTTCAGGCTTTAGGGTTTAGGGTTTTTTAATCTGAAAATCTTAAAAATCTGTCGCTCCAACGGGCCCCCCATCCTAATTTCAGGGGGACGAAGGCTGTGGGGGTTTCCGAAAATAGGGGACCCTAGTATAGTACCCTAAATAGTAGAATCCTTATTGTAAGGACCCCAAAATACTGTACTCCCTATTTTCTGAAACTCCCACAAAAGTACACAACCCCTGCGCTACGGAAACTGAGAGGGCGCAGGGCCGCACTGGCGGCAATAGCGCTGGGCAGCTCTCGGTCGTTCTGGCCAAAGTCGACAGGTGTCGCCAAGCCCTGGTCAACGTCGAAAGATGTCGCCAAGCCCTGGCTAAAGTCGAAAGGTGTTCGCAAAACTTCCTGGCCATCTCCAAAGCCTGCAGTAGTTGGCTGCAGCACCTCCCGGTCGACGTCGCAGCCAAACATCGAACCCTAAACCCTAAACCCTAAACCCTAAACCCTAAACCCTGAATCGAACCGAAGAACTCGAGAGTGCCATGCGCGAGGGAACAACTATCGGCTCCGTGGGCGGGTGGACCGGTTTGGAATCTAGAAGGAGTCATGTGTACCACGGTTTAGGGTTTAGGGTTTAGGGTTTAGGGTTTAGGGTTTAGGGTTTAGGACCGG